AACCCTGCCTAAACCAGCCTACGCGCCTGTCTTCTGTACCGATAGTATCCGATAATTATACTTACCACTTGATATAAAGACGTTACAAGCACCCCAAGAGTAGCATATATTGTACCAACAATATTAAATTTGACATCATAACAAGAATTTAATATAACACCTAAAGTTATTGGTACCTGAAAAATATAATTAAATAAAATATTGTTGTATACATTTGCATTTGTTACTGTGGAAATTTCATTACTATATTTGATTACAACACCAAACACTTTCTTAGATTTAATGAAATAATTATTAATTAATAACAAATCAATTAATAATGATGACAGATTGTAACTTACTATAGTTAATTTTATTTTGGTCGGATAAGTCTTGTTGTAGAAAAAAGTCTGAATGACCAATATACAAGGTGTGGTCATTACTTTAGCCAGCTGGTACGTGCCCACTGTGTTATTCTGTAGTGATAGATTTGTAAACACAACAAAACCGCAGAATGTTAGACTTAATGGCAGAACGCTTTTAATTGGTAAAGATTTCGGTGAGAAGATGTTGAGACGTCGGCAAATTTCCAGGCCTAGCGATGTCATAATGAAATGGACACAGGTGAGGGTAACGTTTGGAAAGCCGTAGTTGACGTACAACCACTTGTTGAGAAAGACGATTGTAACGGATGAGCAGAGATTGATGCCAAGACACAGAGTAATGAAGGAATTACTCGGACTCGGTTTCTCCATTTTCTGTTGCGTTGTCAAAATCAATCTGGTATGAAGGAAAAAAAAATAATTAAAAATGCTATTTTAAATGATAATAATAATAATATCTGGTGTACCTGGCAACTTTAGGGAGATCATAATAATGATCATAAGATCTCAATTGAAAACGACAATGCCGCAGATTATGACAACGACATTGGTGCTGAGGACGATGTACAATACAAAATCATTGAGGCCTCAACCCGACGACGACGACAGGAACTTGTGGATACAGATGGGTATACCTACACTTTGAAGAAGAATACTCGCAACATTTTGTTTCGTTACTGGCGGTAAGTTGTTATAGCAATTATTATTATAACAAATATCAGTTATTATCTATTTGATTTTAACATTTTTTGAGATCCCAGGTAGTTTGTACCCATTATTATGCCTAATGATATAAATGAAACAATTTACACCGATGGGCCGCTCGGACTCATTATAATCTTATGATCTTGGGGCCGTGTTGATTTTGGGCCGTGTTGACTTGGGGCCGAGTTGACTTGGCGTAACTTATTATATTAGGAAACGCTTCTTATATTATTTTTATTTATATAAATATTTATTTATTTATTAAGGTATAACACACAAAACAAAACAACAGCTAAAGGCTGAAAACGTTTGTTTACAATCAAGAAATAAAGACAACATAGGAAAACAGGTCAGGTGGAAAAATACATATCAAAATATCAAAACATTCAAATAATTACATTAGAAAAGTTAAAAATTAATATCATATTACAAAATATATATATATAAATATACACCATATTATTATAATTAAATTTCAAAAACGTCAATTAATAAGTTAAAAAGTAATTTCATATTACAAAATATATATATATATATATATATATATATACCAAATGATTATATTAGTTATAGTGTGCTTGGCCTACTAAACTTCTATATTGTCTAGTAATTGACATAATTAAAGCATGTTGTTTGCCTTTCCCACAGTTTTCTCATTACTCTTAAATCAATACAAATAGTTGGCACCCTATTCATCAATCATAAATAGGCCTAGGGGCCTAGTGTAGTTAGGTAGAGTAGTAAGCTCTCCTCTGGGCGGCCAACACACAACACAGACAGCACACACATGACTAGGAGTAGGATAGGCCTAGCTAGCCTAGGTAGGCCTGCTGTAATGTAGGACAAAATTCCTACTATGCCGGGTCCTTACACAACAAAAAAGCAATACCAAAAAGCCAAGTCCTACCTATTTCTGTTCCTAAGTTCGCATCAGAAAGCTTTCAATTTACCAATATATTTAAGAAGAGTTTTCCACTAGGCCTAGCTAGGCCTACTACTACAACTTGACCGGTAAGCTGAACGTGGCCAAACAAACTTTGTTGTTGATTCTAGGATCCACCGAAAGCACAATTGGAATGGATCCGCTAAAACGCTCCCGGTAATTAATAGGCTTCTATTTAAGGGGGAAGACATTTCAATGGATCCTTACGAAAACTCTATTACCGGTAGATACGAAATAATAAAAGGTATCGAAATTGCTTGTCACACCGCCACCGCACCAGTTGTGACTCCATTACTTTTTGGTGATACAGTCGTCGTTTTTGAGAGAGAAGCAACATCATGCCAGTTACAGAAAACTTCGAAGCCGAAGGACTTGAGAAAAATCCAGACTTGAACTTAGCTCAGTTAAAATTTCGTTTAGGCCTAGATGGCAAAAATCCAGATGAAAAATTGAAAAATGAGTTGCTGGAGGGGATTTCTAATAACAGTAAGTTCGCGGATGGGCCTAGGCCCTAGGCCTTCTTCTAGGGCCTAGTAGGCTAGGCCTAGGCCAGACCTAGCCGAGGCTAGGCCTAGTAGTAGGCCTGTCTACTAGGGTACTAGGTTAGCTAGGCCCTAGGCTTCTAGGGAGGGTAGGCTAGCTAGTCCTCCAACAAGTAGTAAGGCCTACAACTAGTAGAGACTGGGCTAGGCCCAGCACAAATATCACAGGCCAGCTGAGAGAGAGAGGGCAATAATCAAACACTTCAGGCTCTGTTCGGTGTTGGAAAAGAAAACTTAAGTTTAAATTTCTTTTGATTGTATCCTTTAAAAATGCTTTCTGCCGCTGTGCCTTAGGTCTTCTCAGGCATCAGTGCCATTTTAAAGTTTTTTAATTGTGCAGATCAAACCTGAAAAACCAGCTCAAATTTGCACGTAAAATCGCTACTTTAGGAAAATAGGTGTGCAGAGTCATAATTATACATTGTTTATATATTAAGATTAGGTCAAAGCCTAATTTTCGGCAAAATTTGTGCGGAAATCGGCCCTTATTTTCCGAATATATGGACGGATTTCTAGGCCAAATTTTCGCGCTGAGGATATATTCCCTATGCAGACCTTACTTTACAGTCTGGCATCAGTGGCGTATCTGAGGCAAACAAAATCATGCTCAAGTAAATAAAAATCACCTCATATCACTTTATTTTTTGAGCCCCGACTTAATCATCGAGCCCACTTCACCTTCACTTCCCCATCAGCTCCCCACCTGCCATTTCAAGACTAATAGATCACCACAGCCTGGCATATTTGTTTGTTTACTAGTGCAAAGACATTATGAGTAATAGTAATAGTAATAGTAATAGTAATAGTAATAGTAATAATAGTAATAGTAATAATAGTAATAGTAATAATAGTAATAGTAATTTTTTTTTTTTTTTTTTTAATAATAATAATAATAATAATAATAATAATAATAATAATAATAATAATAATAATATAATAATAATAATAACAATCACTAACGAATATGCCTAGTGAACTAATTTATAGTTGTATATATAACGAGGTCTAGAAAGTTGTGATATCGTATGGTTTCCAAGCTCCTGGGATTCTAAAGACCTTTCGGTTTGTGTAACCTCTGTGGCTGGAACCATATAATATCAGACAATAGTACCAGTGGGATGTTTGTATGTGCGTGATTAATAGATTGACTTGTCATTTGATTGATAGTAACGTCATTCATGTTTATCAAAGACTCCGGTTATTCCCAACTTGACATTACATTTATAAATTTAGTTCAAATATTGCCTGTCTCTTATACACATCTCAAAACGTAAACAAAACTCTTTTTAAAACTGTATCAAACACAACTGTAACCAGATGTTCGATTACAAGGAACTCTACAATAATTTTCATTGGATAATGTAATAAACAATATGATTATTGGCTAAATTAATATTCTACAGTACGCGCCTCACGTACAATTGGTTGTGACAAGCGTACATATACGCACGGAAATATAGAATAAATAATATCGATGTTACAATCAAACACTTCAGGCTCTGTTCCGTGTTGGAAAAGAAAACTTAAGTTTAAATTTCTTTTGATTGTATCCTTTAAAAATGCTTTCAGTCGCTGTGCCTTAGGTCTTCTCAAGCATCAGTGCCATTTTAAAGTTTTTTAATTGTGCAGATCAAACCTTAAAAAACCAGCTCAAATTTCCACGTAAAATCGCTACTTTAGGAAAATAGGTGTGCAGAGTCATAATTATACATTGTTTATATATTAAGATTAGGTCAAAACCTAATTTTCGGCAAAATTTGTGCGAAAATCGGCCCTTATTTTCCGAATACATGGACGGATTTCTAGGCCAAATTTTCGTGCTGAGGATATATTCCCCATGCAGACCTTACTTTACAGTCTGGCATCAGTGGCGTATCTGAGGCAAACAAAATCATGCTCAAGTAAATAAAAATCACCTCGTATCACTTTATTTTTTGAGCCCCGACTTAATCATCGAGGCCCACTTCACCTTCACTTCCCCATCAGCTCCCCACCTGCCATTTCAAGACTAATAGATCACCACAGCCTGGCATATTTGTTTGTTTACTAGTGCAAAGACATTATGACATGAAAAAATACAATAATTTTTCCGAGGCATCATTCTAACCACAATTAAATTGTCACTTTTTAAATAATCATTTTGTGGGTTGACTATCATGCTCATAGATTTTTGTCTTTTTTATTTAGACATGGCTCCATTTTATGAAATCGTTTGCAAAGATCTCTCATGGAAAACGGACCAGAAGCTGTTGAAAAAGATGAAGGAAGCAAATGAGGCAGAATTAAAACATCTTGACAGTCAGATAGAGGATGCACAACAAAACCAGGGAGAGACAGAAGTCCGAGATGCACTGTTGGCAAAGGCTGAATATCTCTGTCGTATCGGCGATAAGGTATCAAATGGTTTTTGAGGAAGGGAATCTGAAAGTTGTAAATGCATTGGGGTTGGCCGGGGCATTACAACAATTTTACTTAAATTACTCCGTATTTTCTTAGGAACCAACTGTGACATGTGACTTTGGCTTTTAAATCATTTAACTAATGAATTTGTTTTTTCCTGAAGCTTGAAGTGAACTAAAGAAAGTTATGGGTTATAATGTTTCTACATGATGACCTTATTTTATGGCATTGTTGTTTTTGCAGGAAATGTATTACGTCATTTTGTATGCCATAAATCAAATCCAAGTTAAATATGCCATAAATAAATCAAAAGACCAAAAATTGTTCACTTCGATGTTGTCATTTGAAGGAAACTGCTTTTTAAATTTATTATTTTTGATATGAATCAACAAACTTCCAACAAGCTTTAATACCATGCTATTCTGTTGTAGATAAGTTTTAAATTACAGTAAATAATTCTTCCCACTATTTAGATAAAATTCTTAATTATTTCAGGACCCATGTCTGAGTGCCTTCAGGAAGGCATTTGAAAAGACAGTCGCATTGGGACATAGGTTGGATGTAATATTTCATCTAATACGTGTTGGTTTATTTTGGGGAGATAATGATCTCATTACACGTAATATAGAGAAAGCCAGAGAGTAAGTAACCATTTGGTGTAAATCAGCCTGTAGTAGTAGTAAAGCTTTATTTATTCAGGAATACATAACTCAACAGTTTACATGCTGTTTTTCATCATGGCCATGATAAAAGAGAAAGGAAAATATAAATCAAATTTACAAAACATACAATATAAATGAAAGACTTAATACAGTACAGTATACTAAAATATGAAATTTACATTATACAAAATAATTTATTGTTATATTATAGAACACTACACAAAAAAATAATAACAAAACATAAATAAGGTACATTTGTAAATATTAACATAACATTGAGGAATATAAAATAAGTTATTCAATTAAATTCTTCTTTATTCCACAAATGTCACAATTATATATACATTTTACATATCACTTTTTCATGTGAAAAAGGCTTAAATTTTTAAGTTTGTACATTTTATTTTCTCTTGGTTAGAATTAATAGCAAGACAACATTTATACAGATGTTTGAGTGAATTTTTATATATCTAAAGAAGACTTGGTTGCCTAGCTGGCAATTTGATTTTAAAATTCAGTTTAATTATTATAATTTATACTAGTTTCATTACACATTTAGAATGTCTACATGCAGTATTTAAAATACACGGATGAATCATTTTACATGAAAATTTATTTAAAGTTAAGCAGTGGGCTTATACTCAAGAACCTATGGTAACTTAAAAGTTGTGTCACGTCTTTGTAGCATGATAGAAGAAGGTGGTGACTGGGATCGTAGAAACCGTCTGAAGGTGTATCAGGGACTGTACTGCATGTTTACCCGTGATTTCAAGACCGCTGCCAACCACTTCCTGGACACAGTCTCAACGTTTACCTCATATGAGTTAATGGATTACAAGACATTTGTCACATATACTGTGGTTATCTCTGTCGTAGCATTGGACAGGACTGATCTTAGGAAAAGGGTAAGCTTGTCCAATTTTGGTTGTTTTATTTTGAAATCAGTGGCGGATCCAGGAATTCTAATTGAAGGGGCCCCCAGGGAGGGACTTTTACAGCTGAATGGTATAAACCACCTCAGCCCCACCATGGTTGGGGCTGAGGCATGACATTTTATAGATAATGCACTCTCAGACTTAAATTTGAATATATTTTTTTCTTTTCTTTAGGGGGCCCAGGCTGGCTGTGGCCCCCTTCCCTTAAATCCACCACCTATGTAAACACAATTTTTAAAATTGTATACAGGTTATAGGCATGTAGTCTGAAACAACGCTTGTTTTAACCATAATTCACAAAGCATATAATAGACAATGTTGCAATTTTTGTTCATACAGCACACTATATTGTATATGTTATTTTTCATTAGGTTGTGAAAGGTGCTGAGATTTTAGAGGTCCTTCATAGCTTGCCTGAAATCCGTAGTTACCTGTTTTCACTCTATAAATGCCAATATAGAGAGTTCTTCAAATGTCTTAGTAAGTACTGTATGTTGAATCCAAGTTTAATACTACTGAAATACTGATTGATAGGTTTGATTGAGTGAATTGAAATGATTGATTGTATGATTGATTGTTTGATTGATTGACAGGTGCTCTGGAACCCATGTTAAGAAATGACCGTCTGATGAATGTCCACTATCGTTATTATGTCCGTGAGATAAGGATCCTCGCATATTCTCAGCTGTTGGAGTCCTACCAGAGTTTAACTTTGCAGTACATGGCTGATGCTTTTGGAGTCAGTGTGGAATTCATTGACAAGTTAGTCACATGTCTTGTTTTCTCGTTGCCTCCGATTATAATTATAACAACAACAATACAAACAACTACAACAACAATAATAATAATAATAATGTTAATAATGATAATTAATAATATCATTATTATTTCTCTAAATCGGACTTAGTAGAATATCTTTTGTCTTATTTTCCCTTTAACGTCATTTTTTTTTAATTGTTTCTTTATTGTCCATATTCCCCTTAAGGTAGGTTTTAGTAACATAATACATTCAGTACATAAATTTGTGTCATTACCACCACCTGCTCTCCTTGTGTTTCAGCTGGTAGGGGTGGGAGGGGCTTAAATGCTAATTTCAATAGCACTTCTTTGGTTCAAATTTTTAAGTGTTAGTCTTGAGTGACCCATGTACACAATAAAGAATTTATTACACTTTCAGAAAAGAGTAGGGCATTTTATACTTATATACTGCCCTATTCACCACCAAAAGGACCCACTTGAAATAGTCTTCAAAATTTCATGGGTTATTCTTGGTGTATTCAACTCAGATTAAACCAAATCCAATCCTGTTTATGATTTCCTTCCTTTTGATATGTTAGAGAGCTGTCCAGATTTATCGCTGCTGGAAGACTGCATTGCAAAATTGATAAAGTAGGAGGTATTGTTGAGACAAACCGACCCGACAGCAAGAACTATCAGTACCAGGTCAGATAAAATAAATTGTTTAACATTTGAAATGAAGTTAGAAAATACCCTATTCACACATAGACCAAATGTATAAAGTTAATTCAACCAACCATAATTCATAGTTCATTTTATTCCAAATATGGTCGTATTGGAAATTTACGCACTCTCACTCTGTGCTCTGCTTGATTCAACATATTTAACATTTAAATAAAATGTATTTAAGGCGAGACTTCCTTTATGCCTTGTTTTGCATACTTATTTTTTTAAAGATCATCGGAGGAGGGCAGAATAAAAATAAAAATAAAATTTTGTTGTCTTATTTAGCAAATAGTTTTGCTAAAAACATTCAAACAGAGGAGAAAATAAAAAATAAACTATTATTGGTGAATGTAAAATTGGATGGTTAAATGCTTCAAATTTATAATTAGGAACAAATATACATCTTATCTTTAGAGATTTTAAGGCAGCAGAGGGTGTAATAAAAATAAAGAAAATTTTTTTCCTGAAAATTCCACTTTTTCATTTTGGTGGGTGTGCTAATTGGCCAAAAAATAAAAAATTTAAAAAATTTTATTTTATTATTTGAAATCAATATTTGCAGTCGGCGGGTTCGCTAAACAAGCTATGAATTAAATATTTCAGTGATACATGATGGCCTATTTTATTTGACCTAATTAATTTGAATTAGTTTATTTGACCTAATTTATTTATTTAACTAAATATTTCATCTTTTTCAGGCAACCATCAAACAAGGAGACATTCTACTTAACCGTGTACAGAAGCTTAGTAGAGTTATCAACATTTAAATAACATCAGCAATCCAGCAAATTGAATACAATCTCTAGTGACACAGCTATTAACTGCTTTACCTGCCTGTCCCCCTGCCCAAGTTTACTTGCCTATCCCATGTTTACCTGCCAGTTCATGGTACTTCCTTGAGGCTATGCCTATCTGTTGTCCAAGACAAAGTGTGCTTTTTTAGCCCCCTCAATATCCTGTCAAAAGGAAGCTTTTTAAAAATTGTTTAATGAACACTGTTCTTTTTAATTATATATTAAAGTAACATTAAATAAAGGGCAGAAAATGCTTTTGGGGATTGGCATGCTCCTCTTTGTTTCTTATACAGTAGTTTTGTATTCAATTATATATTTAAATAATTGGAGGATATTGTGTAAAATGCTATTTCTGGTTGTATTCGAAGCATATACACTGTACCTTAAAACAGTTTTCAAAGAAATTTACCTGATGTTAACTGCTTAGCCTGCCTGCCCACCGGCACATGAACATCTTATGATCATCATGCATACGATTGTCATGTATGTGATCATCATGCATGTGATTGTCATGTATGTGACCATCATGTGTATGATTGTCATGCACCTGTATGGGATCATCATGCATATGAATGTCATGTATGTGATCATCATGCATGTGATTGTCATTTATGTGATCATCATGTGTATGATTGTCATGCACCTGTATGGGATCATCATGCATATGAATGTCATGTATGTGATCATCATGCATGTGATTGTCATTTATGTGACCATCATGTGTATGATTTCATGCACCTGTATGGGATCATCATGCATATGAATGTCATGTATGTGATCATCATGCATGTGATTGTCATGTATGTGATCATCATGTGTATGATTGTCATGCACCTGTATGGGATCATCATGCATATGAATGTCATGTATGTGATCGTTAAGTGTGTGATCTTCATGTATATGATCATTATCCGTATGATATCCCATTTGTATGATCATCTACCAATATTATGATCATGTGTGTGATCTCCATGTGTATGATCTTCATGACAATGTCATCATACTGTACATGATTGACATTTAAATAATGTGATTAACTGAAGTGAATAATAGAACAACATTTGTATCAAACTTATCTGTCTTGAAATTTGTCATAAATATATGACATCATGGTATATTACAGATAAACTCTAAATCGTCTTGTGGTATGCTCTAAATATTTGACAATAAATTTTGAACGTTTTGAAAAAATTTTGAAAAATATGTGCACCGCAACCAGGATTCAAACCCAGGACCTGCTGTCTATGCAGATGACTTAACCAACTAGGCCATTGAGGCTTTGTTGGGAATTAAATATATATATATATATATATAAAATCAGTTCCGTAAACACATGGATAATAAACATATGTACTTGCTATGCAGATGACTTAACCAACTAGGCCATTGAGGTTTTGTTGTGAATTCAATATATATAAATGCACAGAACTATCCAGACACCTCCGGAATAGAAATTATCATCGAAGATGATCGATCGACCAGATGGCAATTGGTCACTACCTATCACCCTGTGTTACCACCACACAGAACATCTCAGGTCTGATTTTTCGGATACACCTTTCATAGCCTTTCACAGAACACCTAACCTTAGTGATATAATAGCAAGATCTAAATTCAAGAGGCAAATTAACTCTAGCAACAGCCATAATTTGGACAGATATTTTTTACACTATAGGCATATATTTCTTTCACTGTAAATTGATTTAAATGGCCATTATATTTTAATTCCAATTAATTGCTTATCTGTTAGATAAGATAGTTTAATACAGTACACACTCCAAGTATCGAAATGCACGCCATCGTGTCGGGATTCAATATTTCGACATTAATTATGTCATCAGGAATGAAAAAATATCCATATTTTGCAAGCTTATATGCACATGTACCAAAAGTGTTTGACCAATCAAAACATTACCCCTAGTAGGTGACATAGCTATGAATAAAGTTATAAACTAAAGATCAAAGCATTCTTACCCTACTGATCAAAGCTACCTACAAAAGCAAAGAAAGCTCCTTCGAAGCTTTCAGCCCATTGTTAAGCAATGGGTGTAGCCTACGTATAGCAAACGCTTCTTTAAACAATATAGACCAATTTTGCGAACTGTCAATAATAATGTTAGTATTAGAAAATATTGAACCTAATTTACTACTTGCATTACAGGCTGCATCATCATTTTGAATTATACCTTGTAAACCTAAAACATATTGGAATGCCTCACAATTTTGTATATGATCATTTATAACACCGTGTATCAGATCGTGAAGAATGTTCTTTAAGCCTAACTATAAAACATCTATCTGTCTTACCAATATAATCAATATTACAACCTGGACATCTAAAATGATAAACAACAGAGCTCCTATATTCCTTAAGGGTTTGATTTTTAGTAAATGTAAAATGAGAGACATTTTTGTACTGCCATAATGTTACAAATTTTACATCTTTTACTAAGTGTTTCTTTACTTTGTTTAAGCATCTACGTAAAATGGATTCACCTGCCTTTCCTAGATAAGGCAATCTAACCCAGATCTTAATTAAGCTGTCATCAGTAGGCCTATGTATACATTTAGCTTCATTTATTTTATTGAGTACATGTTAACAACTTTTAAATGGTACCCATTCCATGACATAAATTTTCTAATGTTATGACTGCTTGAAGTTTGGAATAGTCAGAAATAATAAAGAGGCCTACTAAAATTCAGAGATTGAATACTAGTCAAAAATGATAGTAATATAATAAATTCTTGATTTAAGCCCATGTTTCACTTCAATTTGTCTTCAAATGTCTGGCTATTGACAATGAAATCGACCATCAATGATTTCTTAAAAGGCACACTTTGCATTGATGAAATTATATTTTCGTATGGAATCAGGTGAACAGATCAGGGGCGTATCCCGGATTTTTTTAAATATCGGGGGAGGGGGAAGGGTGTACCAATTCCATATACTGTAGACAGAAATGTAAATTTATATACAGATGAATATGCATCCAAATTAACGGTTCGATTCGTGTTCTGCATACCGTAAAACCAAAGATAATAAATAGCAGAAGATAGAGCAGCTTCCCAAAATAGTGGAACATCCGGTCGAAATGCATTGTGGGTACGCGGAGAAAAATTCTACTGCATCCGCGCGGCGGCACTATATAGCAATAATAAAGGCGCCGCTCTGGTTCGTTTATTTCCTGTCGTTTCTCCACTTAGTAAAATGTTCAAATTTTTTACTGCAACCGCATGAGGGCGGATGTTCCATCGTTTTTAATGCAAATACGCGGGAACCAGATCATTCTTCTGCTATTAAGTTCTTTGGTAAAACCTCGATCAGAAACATTTGATGGGCTTCTTTTCGAGATCTATCTCGTATTGCGGGTCCGATTCCCACCAGACACCTCTCTTTCCATACAACTGTAATAAGGAACTTTTGTTGATGAACCGTGTTTTGATACGACTTATAATAATAATAGTGATAATAATAATAATAATAATAATAATAATAATAATAATAATAATAATAATTAATAATAATAATATGCAGAAATTTATAACGCACCAATTCAAAAAAATTATCAAAGGCGCAGTGAACAATTAACCCAATTAAAGCGATTTTATAAGCAACAAAGTTTTCAAATTAGTTTTAATGAGTTTAAATTTGAAGATTGTCGAACAGAAAGAGGTATAGATTCCAAAGATAAGGTGCCTGAACAGAAAAGAGCGTTGTCCATATGTTTTTAGCTTTCTCCTTTTTGAAGGGGCTTGAAGAAGAAATTTATCGGAAGAACGAAGTGCACGAGTTGGAGAGTATGGCGTAAGAAAATGTGTGCAAATATGATGGTTGTTTAAAAAAGAGTGATTTAAAAACAAGCAAAGCATCATGTTCCTATATATTTGAGCACTGTATTATTGGCTTTTCCCAGCATTAGCTGGAAAAGCCATTGTTTTTATTCTGATTTTTTTTCTTCCATATTGTTTTTCTTATCTTGTTACACTAGGTTTTTCCGCCCGGCACTTTGGTAACATTTCATGCTTTGATCTTTTCAAAACTTTGTGCCTTTTAGTGACAATTTGGAGTAGGGTGTGAATGTGAGGATCATTTAACACTATATATTTAAAAAAAGGATCGACTGATCTGAATGAAACTTGGAAAGTTTAACCAAGATACAAAGAAGTAATTATAAAATTTTGTTAACAATTTTGACCAAATTTACAATGTGCAGAGTGAATCTGTCACGCATGAGTGAATCTGTTCTAGCTTCACGTCGTTTCGCAAATCGAAAGCTCCCTATACTGGAGTTATGAATAGAGGCATCAGTTCCTGATCGTACAAGTTTTTCTCTTCAATTTTTCCTGGAAGTTCCGGTTATTGACAATAAAATCGACCATCAATGTTTCCTAGAAAGGCACACTTTCATGAATTGATTTCTTATGAAATGGTTTGATGACAGGCTGAGGTCAATTTGGCGATTAGGAACGGATCCAAACGTTTTTAAACGAGGGAGGGGGAACCAGTTTCATGAAGGCCTAAATGCAACAGATAAATATTATCCAAATTAATGGTACATATTAGTGTTCAGTATACAGATGTGTATAAGAGACAGATATATATATATATAAAATCACTTCCGTAAACCCATGGATAATAAACATATGTACTTGCTCCCTAGCAGCTGTCATCCCCGCACTGTACTAAAAACAATCTGTACAGCC